GTTGTTTGCCTTTTATGATTCATATTTAAGAGGTTTTTCTTTATTTTAATTCTGGGAACAAATCCTTTCTTCTGTATATAACAAGACTTGAATATTTCATCCCTGAATTTTACTTATTATAAAGGTCTCAACTCCTTTATAGCCTGGCCTTTTGATACTCATTTATTATACAAAGAATTCAATTTGTCCCAGATCTTGGGAGAAAGCATTATTTATGTTTCTTTAGGGTTTGTTCATTTAGAATGAGGAAAATATGCTTTAAACATTTTGAAATGAAAACCAGAGTCCAACAGCATTTTTAATGTCAGTACTAAGAATTAAATTTGTACATATATGCGATTATTCTCAATCTTGGCTGCATTAGAATCATCTAGATTTATTCAGACTAGGGTACGGGTAATTTTAAAAGCTCGTGATTGATACTGATGGGCCTTCAGGCTTGAAAACTATCCTTGAAGACACTATGATTCTTCTCCCAAAGCATTTTGCTAGACAGAACAGAATATGTGAATCTCCAAGAGCACAAGGTCTCTCATCTTTCTTATGACAGGTGTATGTCCAGTGCATGGAACAGTGCCTGCCACATACAGCAGCCTTAATGATGTGCTGAATAAACTGATTGTGTTTTAGCTACCAAACTGTAGTGCTTTTCTAATGCTCCCTATCAAAGGTTGTACTCAGATCATGTTTAAATTTCCAACACTTTGGCCGGCCCGGTGGCGCACTGCTACAGTGCACCGCTTGGGAGTGCGGTGGCGACACGAAAAAAGACAAAAAGGAAAAAAAAAAAATTTCCAACACTTTGGCCGGCCCGGTGGCGCACTGCTACAGTGCACCGCTTGGGAGTGCGGTGGCGACACGAAAAAAGACAAAAAGGAAAAAAAAAAAATTTCCAACACTTTGGCCGGCCCGGTGGCGCACTGCTACAGTGCACCGCTTGGGAGTGCGGTGGCGCTCCCGCCGAGGGTTCGGATCCCACATACAGACCGGTTCCCGCTCACTGGCTGAGTGAGGTGCGGGTGCAACACCGAGGGTTGCGATCCCGTTGCCGGTCCCGGTCCGGTGCGGGCGTGACACTGAGGGTTGCGATCTGTTGCCGGACACGAAAAAAGACAAAAAGGAAAAAAAAAAAATTTCCAACACTTTGAGGTCTCATCTTCTTTGGACTTGGCTAGTGTTAACTTTCAAGTCTTTGGTAGCAGTTCATTGGAGCTTTCAGGCATTATAAGTTCATCTCAGAAATAACTGTTGGACCAGTTTTATACATGAGGCCAAGGACAAAGAAATGTTAAGGCTAATTATGTGGTTGCTTGGCTCCTAGTCATAGCTCGATATAAATCTGCTAATTTGATTTAATCCATAAATCAGAGCATAGGGACTGAATTACAAATTAAAACATTTTCCATACTTACTTTTCTTTCACCTTGTTTTTTAAGGTCTCTCCACAGGAACAGTGAATGGGATTAGAAGAGAGGTTTGATTTTATCAGAGTGTAGAACAAAATTCTACATTTTTACTAGTGATAATGTTCAACAAAATTCTATGAGAAAGCATTAAAGAGACTTGAAAGTTGCAATTTCAAATTTAGTCTGATACTAAAAAAGTGGTAGCAAATCACAAGGCCTTAGAAACTCTTCCACTTCAAACATTAACATCACCTTTACCTATTGGTTCAGTTTCCCTTTAAAAGAGTCACTTATATAGCCTTGCAGACCTCATAATTTAGTATTAGTGTGTGAGAGCGTCTCACTTCAGAACCTTAGTATCTTTTGATCTTAATTATTACATCAATTTTTTAAATGGGAGGCTGTATATGAAAATGTTTTAAAATACTATGTAAGTTAATGTTAGCATTTTTTATTTATGATTTTTTAATTCATGTCATTTTCTCAATGCTTAGACTTCTGTTATAATATTTACTATTGAATAGTTTTCATTACTCACATCTTTATTTTATAGTTCATTGTATTTAAGTATTCTTTCAGCATAATAAATACTATAATTTTACTGTCTTCAACCTCAGTGTTTTATTGTAGTAATTATTTAAAAAATTAAAGATACTTTTTATTAAAATTAATGAGTGAGTAAGGTAGTTTTGTTTTGTTATGATATTCCTATGTTTAGAAATAGAATTATGTTAGGGCTAACTGGAGTTTCATGACCAGCAGAGAAATCTGACCACATTTTTCTCCCCCATGTGGTTCTCTTGCCCTTTTGCTTTCTCTTGTGTGATTACAGCTGGTTTTGTAATGCTTTCTGTCTCCTACCCTCCTTCCTACTGTCTTGATCACACTTTAAAAGTAGGTTTTGGTACAAATACAGAATTCAGTTGTTTTTCAAGATCAGTTTTCTTTATCCATGATGTCTTTTTTCATTTATCTTTGCCAAATGGTATGTTTCTCCTTTGTAAGAGTACTCGATGATGAGGGTACTTCAAAAGGTTCATGAAAAAATAGAATTGAAAGATAATACAAATCTTTCCATGAACTATTTGAAGTACCCTCGTGTATGACTAATGAATCAAGCTATTACAACTTTGAGTATGGTTTTGTGTGTTTTCTAAAAATCAAGAAATTTTAGGACTTTTGCTCGGTAGAATTTCAAAAGAGCAATGGAATGGTTTGTAAAAGTTATTCTTAGATGATAATAAGGATTCGAAGTAAACATTTCATTTTGCCAGGACAGACCTGAAAGGTAAAGGTGGATGATGGTGCACACGTTACTCTCTGTACCATTAAAAATTCCGTACAACATTACCTGAATTAATCTTGAGTAAAAGTCTGGCATGGATATTTAAAAACACTGAGGCAGTTACTGTTGTGACCTTAGTATTACTGTGATCTGATACTAATGAATAATTCTACTTCTTATAATTGTCCATACTTTTCATTTAGTTGCTGTTTCTCATTTTCCTTATTGTGAATTTTTAACTTCTAACCACCTATTTCTTTACTTCATCTTTTACACTTAGAATTACCACTTTTTAGACTTAAAAGTATCCTGAAAAAAATTTTTTTTAAATATAAAAATGTACATATTACCAAAAAGTTGGGGAGAACCCTAAATGAATTACGAACTTTTTGTTTTGTAGAGATAAAAACTTCAAGAGTAAAATTCCATTAATAAGTTTACAATTTGGGGGCCGGCCCGGTGGCGCACTGGATAGTGCGCCGCTTGGGAAGCGCATTGGCGCTCCCGTCCGAGGGTTCGGATCCCACGTACAGACCGGTTCCCGCTCACTGGCTGAGCGAGGCGCGGGAGCAACACCGAGGCTTGCGATCCCGTTGCCGGTCCCCGGTCCGGTACGGGGGCAACACTGAGGGTTGCGAGCCGTTGCCGGACACGGAAAAAAGACAAAAAAAAAAAAAAAAAAAAAAAAAAAAATTTTACAATTTGGGAATAGCATACTCTGTGTTAAGAAGGGCAGTGTCATCTGTTTGGAGGAGATTCTTGTGGTATTCCAGGTGTTGCCATTTTGGACTAGAATGATAACAGAAGAAATGGAGAGAAATGGACCAATTTGGGATGTATTTTGAAGTGGAAGTGAGAGGACTCGGTAATAGATTAAATGTGGAGAGAAGGAAAGAGTCTGAAGAAGAAACTTGTTACATAGTATTACCGTGTTCGGAGATGGCAATGACTGGAAGAGGAACTGCTTTATTTAGTTTGGGAAGAGTATGAAGTCGGGATTTCTGTTTTGGGCATTTTGAGTTTGAGGTACCAAAGTGAATATACCCATTAAGCAATTGAGTTTAGACTGTGGAGGTGAAGGTGGAGTCATTAGCGTATGTTAATAATGTTCACAATCATGAGCTTTGAGGTAATGGAGAAGAGGGTCCATGAGCAGTGCTGTGGCTTCCAGCAGTCAAAGTTGGGGCGGATGAGAAGTCTGAGAAGAGTCCAGTGTGGCACTTGTATATGATACATAGAGACTGTTTAATAAAAGTTGCACATGCTTAAGATACATTGCTGTTTGCGAGTTGTTTTTTAGGCTAAATATTTGACATATGTTTTGTAAGGTTTCAAGCACCATTCTGAATGTCATTGAGCAAGACAGTTCTATACAATGCCAAAATGTTTATCATGAGAGATGGCATTACCACTGGGTCATTAAGGTTAGGATATGGTACCAATCATTCCCTCTCCACCTGCTGCCCCTTCATGACTTAGATTGTTAGGTGTCACTGATTTCTTGCTCAGGTTGAAGGAGTTTGCCAGAAAATTCTCATTAACAAGGATACCCTTTGACATTCCTCGTACAATTTTCTGTCTTTCTCTTGAAATAAGTTCATTATTAAAGTCATTTTATTTTTAAAAGTTGTCATCAACATGAAGAATTTTGGATTCATGAGGAATGTTATTAAATGTGGGATGTCACTGATGTCTGTGATAGCATGGTGTGGCAGATGAAAGCCTGGTATAGAAATTCTGCAAGGACATTCAAGACGATGAAATGCGGACTGGCATAGACATAGCTAAATGCTATTACTACCTTAGAGCTGAGCAGAGAATCCTGTCATACCCCATATTTCTTGACATGACTGTTCTTCATTTTACCCCAATATCTAAACTATAAAATAAGACAGTTATTAAGTGCCTACTATATCTTAGGCAGAGTGCTAAGTACTTTTATATTGTGGTCTCAGTTTGACCTGACACCACTTCTGAGAAGAAAATATATTGAACTCATTTTGTAGAGGTCGAGAAATTGAAGCTTTGGTTATTGGTATTTTAGAGAGGAAAAAGAAGAAAGATACTCCCCAAAAGTTACATACAAACTAGGACTCCGCAGTGTTTTTTTTTTTGTTTGTTTTTTGAGGTTAAAATTTTCCTAAACATGTTTAAAAGAAGGCGGAAATGATGTCATGTATTGGAGAAAAAAGGCTGTGTTTTTAACTGTCCATTTAAGTCTATTTCATCTCTAAATATTTAGTGAAATGTTTCCATGCTATATTGATAATGATCTTAATTCCCCCCTCCCCCTTTTTTTTTGGTTTCAGAGGAAGAACTTGTCTCTTTTCCTCAGCATTAGCTTGTTAACTTTCTGGGGGACCTCCCTTTTGGGTGCCCGGTTATACTGGATGGGAAACAAACCACCGAGCTTTTCCAACTCTGACAACCCAGCTGCCGACTCGGACAGCCTCCTGGCTCGCACGCTCACCTTCTCCTACTTGCCAACCAAGAACCTCTGGCTGCTGCTATGCCCGGACACCCTCAGTTTTGATTGGTCAATGGATGCTGTGCCTCTGCTCAAAACAATTTGTGACTGGAGAAACCTACACACTGTGGCCTTCTATACTGGACTCCTCCTCCTGGCCTACTACGGTTTGAAGAGCCCAAGCGTGGAACGAGTATGCAATGGGAAAGCTGTCACAAATGGCAGGCAGAATGCAAATGGACATAGCTGCCCTTCAGAGGTGGAGTACCGGAACTCAGAGATTAAACCCAGCTTTGCATCCAAAGTAGAAAATGGCATTAAAAATAATGCATCCCAGAGAACACAACTTCCTTCTACCGAGAACATTGTTGTTCTGTCTTTGTCTTTGTTAATAATACCGTTTGTTCCTGCCACGAACCTGTTTTTCTATGTCGGCTTTGTAATTGCAGAGCGAGTATTATATATTCCTAGTATGGGCTTCTGCCTCCTGATTACAGTGGGTGCCAGAGCCCTTTATGTCAAAGTCCAAAAGCGGTTTCTCAAGAGCTTGATTTTTTATGCTACAGCTACATTAATTGTTTTCTATGGACTCAAGACCGTGATCAGGAATGGAGACTGGCAGAATGAGGAAATGCTCTATAGGTCAGGGATAAAAGTAAACCCAGCTAAAGGTAATATTTTATTTATACTTTTACCTGGACAGTTTACACTTTCAGACTTTTTATATCTTTGCTTCTTAAAGCACAGTACTAAGAAAGAGGTCGTTTTATGCAATACCCATATCTTTCATTCTTCTTATTTTTTAAGGAGATTTGCAGTAAAACAAATTCTGAGATATAGCCAGCATTCCAGACTTGGAATAGAGAGATATTTTTCTGTGTTCCTGACTATGCATATCCAGAAGAATTAGAACTCCTGTTGTGTAAAAAATATTGACTATCCTAAGAATTTAGAAAAATGCTTGGTTTCTGAATTTAAAAATACTGATATGGACATCTCTTTCATCATGTGATGAAAGTCAGGTTATCCCACTTAAGTGTACTTTAGCTCTTCTGTTTTCCAAGCATCACCTGAGGAAATACCCCAAGACTTACATTGACATCTTTAAAAGATTTGGAGGTAAGGCTACCTCTGAATCTTGGAATCCTGTCTCTTGATATCAGTGTGTACACATGTAGATGTGAGTCACCCTTAGCCTTCAGAAGCTAGGTAATCTGGGTGTTGCCAAGCAGTTAGCATGTTCTTATTTAAGAGTTTAAGTCACTTAGGAAAAAAAAAAAAAACACGATTCACTGTACAGTGAGGAGATTGATTATACCTTTCGTTATTGCTTTTAATTTAGAAATTATTTTAGCAAGTCTCAGAATTGATAGCCAAAATAGAAAGTTATTTTCTTTAAAGCAAAGGCAATTCAGTATGATGAAAGGTAGAAAATGAATAAAAATAAGTGTACATATTTAGTGCAGAAATATAGCATAGTAAGTAATGCCAAATAGTGTTCTTCATAAGACTTTTGTTAGTTATTCATCTTTTAAATTAAGGCTGCTCATATAGCATTTGAACTGGGCTTTTTCTACTGTTTCCAACACAATTGTGTACCAGGATTCAAATACTGAAGGTGTGAAACTGTTCCAAATATGTAAAAATGTCCTACTGATATATATCAGGATATATATCCAAATATCTAGATATTCCAGAAGCAACTTTGGCATCCTTGTCTGATAAGCACAAATTAAAGTCAAGGGTTCAGTGAACAACTGCACATTTCTTTAAGCCAAGGAACTAATTGTTGGTGCTTATGATGCTTAATAGATAGCATGGATTTTAATGGGAAATAGAAGTGTTAAAGTTGAGCTATTGCATGGCATATAATTCCACAATTCTCTCTGAACAATCATTACTTTGTGGCTTTTATAGGTAGTGAGGACTGCACAGTTTATTGAATGCCTGAACTCAAATCTTGTTCTAAAAGTTGTTGCAATTCCTGCAGAATGCTTTTTCACCCAGCTTTTGCTCACTGGTAGATATAAGTATATAGAGCAAAGCTATATTGCGAATTTATTTTCCTGCTGTTTAAAACGGATACGTGGTAAGGAATTAAAACAAAATCCCCCAGCATGTTATTTGCATCACAGTGTTGTTCTGGAGGTTTATTATATTTATCAGTTAAGTTTCAGGCTAAGCTTCTATGACAAAGAGCCAAGATAACAGTGGCTTAAATAAGATAGAAACTTCATTCTTCTATGGAACAATCTAAGTATGTACAGCACAGAGCTGATAAGATGGCGCCATGGGTTTTGAGGATCCGTACTCCTTCTCTTTTGTTCCCTTGCCATCTCAGTGGTGTCACCCTGTCCATATGGTCCAAGATGGCTCATTGTCACATCAGCACTTCAGCTGACAGGAAGAAGGGGAGAAAGGGCAAATGGTGGGTGTGCCCATTCTCTCTAAGAGCATATCACAGAAATTGCACACACCATGTTTGCTTACAGACCATTGGCCACACCTAGCTGGGAAAGGCTGGGAAATGTTATCTGTATTATGGGAAGCCAAGTACTCAGCCAAGTTTTATTACTCTGTAAGAAGGGGGAAGGCATACTTATGCACAGGATGTAAGTAGCAGTCTCTGTCCCAGAGAAGATGAAAGCATTTTATGAACTCTTAAATATTTTCCAGCATTCACAATTATTGCTGACAGGCGTGATTCTGAATAAGCTATTTTGGTGACATGGTTAAAATGTTTGGTCTCTTCTTCATTCATCCATTCACTCAGTAAAACAATTATTAACCATTTCCGTGGTATCCAACTTATTTCCATGTCTCCTTCCTAATGCTCAGGAAGTGATATAGTATTTAGGCACTCCAAAATATTATTAAACGAATGCACAACTGAACAGTGTTAAGGCCATTGAGCCATCAAAAATTGAATTCCTGAAACTCACTGCCACAGCAGTGCCCCAGCCACTGCTGTAGTTGAAGTCTTTACCATCTCAGTTGATGGCATCTCAATTCCAACAGCTCTGGCCGACAACCTTGGAATCATCCATGTCTCCTCTTTTCCTCTCATACCCACATCCATTCCATCAACAAATCGTCTTACTTTGTCTTCAAAAATACATCCAGAGCTAGACCACTTTTTAGTACCTCCACTGCTACCACATGGCCCAAGACGCCATCATTGTTCCTCTGGAATATTATTAAAAGACTGATCTTCCAGTCTCTATTTTCTTGCCTTTTAGCATGTCTTGTAATTTTTTTTGTTTCAAGTCAGACATGATATATTGAGTAATAAGAACGAGGTAAATAGGCTTTTTTTTTTTTTTTTAAAGATGACCGGTAAGGGGATCTTAACCCTTGACTTGGTGTTGTGGGTAAATAGGCTTTAATGGAAGGTTTTATGTTTTATGTTAACCTGACTTGGTGTCAGACTGTATTTAATCTTTGCTATAGTCATAGGTGACAGAAGTGTCAAATTCCTCTGATGTCCCTTCTGTTGTCTTTGGGCTTCCCTAGGGACCCAGGGTTTGTTTTGCATCTTTTTCAGCCTTAATCCACTACTACTATACCAGAGCCCTGTTGCTGTGGTGGTATGTTGTGGGGGAAGGAAAATGTTCTATTATCTTACTATTAAATCTCATCTTCTCTGGGCTGTGACCTTCACAAATATTTCTTAGCATTCCCTGTGTCCCACTTCAGTGGAGATAGGAAGGCTAGAGGGGGCTGCAGTGGGAGGAATATCCTTCCCCCACAACTCTGGGACTAGGCTTTGGTATGGTATTTCTCCTGGAGAGTAGGCTTTTGGTATGGAGGATGCGCTGGCTATACCTCATAAGGTTTATTCTTCTTTTCTCCTCTGCCAAAGCCAGGAGAGCATATTCCTTGGCTTTTCTCAGTGAAAATCTGCTGAGGTCCCTGGACACAAAACCCAGAAAAGTGTGGGGGTCCCTTAAGAAGGCGGCCCCTAGGAGTTTCTCACTCTCAGTCTGTCAGTATTCAGCCTCCAGCAACTACTCAAAATTACCAGTTCATTGTTCCTAACAGTTTCTGCCTCCAGCAACTTCTGCTTCAGGTAAGCTTACTTCTGTGATTCTCGGGATTTGTGACTCTTCTGTCTCTCCAGACTTCAGGGTGGTGGTTAGCCCTGCCACCTCAGTTCACTCATGGTTTCAAGACAAGATTTTCCATTTATTTAGCTTTTTCTTGTTGTATGGGAATGATGACTTCCAAGTTCTTTAATGTTGAACCCCTCCTTCCATTTTTACATCCCTCCTGTCCACACTTAACCAGTACCACTAGTGATCATTTTGACACACAAGTCAGAGGGTGGCATTCCAGTGCCCTCAGTCTTCCACTGGCTCCCCATTTTTCTCAAAGCATGCAGTCACAGACAATACCCTATAATTCCCCAGCCTTTCCTTTCTTTGTTCCACTCCACTCCTGGGGGCCCCTGTCATGTGCCTTCTGTCTTTGATGTGCCAGGTAAGCTCCTGCAGCAGAGATTTTGCCCTGGTCCTTGCTTTTTCCTGGATTGTGTTTCCCTGGGTATTCTCACTGTAGTCTCCCTCACCTCCTTTAGGTCTCTAGTCAAAAGTTGCGTTATCAGTAAGGTGCTTTGTGCAAAATGGGCTCCCCTGTCAAAAACCACAGCTACTCCTCTGCTTCTGCCTTATCCAGCATTCTCCGATCCTCTTTCATGCTTCGTTTTTCTCATAGCACTTATCACCATTTGACATACTGTATTTTCTATATTTACATGCTTATTGTCTGGATGCATTGTCAGCATATGCTAGAATGTATGATGCAAAGAAAGGATTTTTGCATTTTTAAAATAGCATACATGTAGCAATGAGGAAACTGGTAGAGTGAAGGGATTCAGTAATGGATACATTGAATAACGAATGTTACAGTCATAGGCCTTCTCCTTAAGGAGTTCATAATCTCTTTAGAGATAGAATGTACATGCATGAAATAAGGCAAAAGTATGAAATATTATGCTGTTGGTCTACCAGGTACTGAGGAGTGCTTCATAATATGCGGGATAGAATTGGGAGTAGAGTTAGTTTCAGATACTGTGACTGCTGTCTGTGACATATGCTTGCATTTTGATACAAGATAAACTCTTTCAATCCAGGTTCCTTATTTTTTCTGTTTATAACAAGCTAATAATAATTCTGGCTACAGTTACTTCCTTAGCAATTATGAGACTGGCAATATTCTTTCTTAGGCAGATTTTTCTTAGTCTATTATGTTGTTCAAGCTTAGCAAAAGATTAGAAATTCTTTAAAGCCAGTGTTCTGTAAGGCTTTCTGAGATTACAGATTGAGTTAGGTTCTTTCCTGCCTTTGAAAGCCTTTGCAAATTTTGGAGTACTTCAGTCTAACATGTACTTTAACAGAATGTGATTTAAGCCTTATGAAGCATTATGCATTAAAACTGCTGCCTTCAGTAATGGGTTCTGTCGACAGCTGCCAGTCATTAACTGATTGGATGCAAATGATGATGAGTAAAGCCTGTCATAGTGACTGCTGCTAATTTATGGTTTAAATCTGGAGACTGGAGAAATGACAGCTGACTTGGACTATGTAAACCATAAGCCTGTTTCACTATGTGGTTGATAATGTCAGGAAAATACTAGACATAGTTGATTACTATAGTTTGCTGATTTCACAAT